CCTCAATGAATCAAAGTCACTTGGACTTTTTTAAGCAGACAGTGCTGTCATACTGGTTTGGCTTTATTTGCCAACAAGCCTCAGTTTTCTTAAATGGCAGCCTGAGATCTTGTGGTCAGTTCGAGTCAGAGTAATCTAGGTGTAGTTGGTTGGAATGATAAGCTACTCCTGTGTACGATGAATCGCCATAGTCAACATCACATTATATTACCGTGAAGACTTGCTTGTGACCACCTGGTGCATTATGAGCGACCTGTGAATTTGGGGTTTTCTAGTTGTCTGCTGGTTAGTGGATGTGATATCTGAAGCGAAGCTGAGTTCCAGACAGTACTTGTTTTCATTTTCTTGTACGAACATAAATTGTTTTTGATTAAGTAATCTACGATTATGCGAAGCAACTGCCTCAGTTGATGCGTGTGCACAGTCTTCGAATCCTCTTGGGTATCTGTATAATTATTGATAATCAAGCTTGGACTGACATTACTTGGTAACTTCCTATAGACGTTTACATTGAGGTATATTTGTTGAAAGGCTGGATGGTACTACACATAGTACAACATTTTGCAAATCTTCTGCAATTACTTCTTAGTTTTCCTCAACATGAACTGATTCAACATCCGCTTCATTTACTATCTTTTAATGAGTAATGGGGATTACCATTATCCCTCAATGTAACATGATTTACATTATTAAGCTTCTTAAATTCATTTTTATCTTCCCCATATGCATCACTGAGTCTCTTTCAAAATCTGAGGACTTATAGATGTAGACTTCTAAATATCATCGAGGATTTTACTGAATTTTTCAATAATTCTTGGTGACGCTGCTTCCAGTCTTTCACCATAGCATTGTGAAAATGCTTGAAATTCTTCAACGGAAAGATATGCCTTCTTTTACGTGTAGTTATTTTTATATCTTTATAGTGACTTGATATAGCTTGAATTATATATATTTGCCGACTACTGTATACGAGGATGCTTGTACAAATACCTTCAGATTCCACCCTTAATGGTTGCTCAGGTTATTAAGCCATCTGAGGAGAAATTCTTATATTTTACTTCTTTTTCAACCATCTGCTGTCATCACCGTTTAACTAACCAGTTAATAAAATTCAACCTTACCAAGTCTATAAGTTCATAAGTACCTCAATTAGAAATGTACTATGCTAACAGGTAAAAAGATGAGAATAACTGATACGTTTTACAAGGCATTCTTATTTAACTTTGTGATTCTCTTGTCCATTAAGATTTGCATTCTCGTATAATATTCCCAGTCTGACATGTTGAAATCAGTAGATATTTCTTAAATATTTGCTTAAACTGTATTGAGAACCTAGTTTTGACAATACTGAACTTATTTCATGCTTTTGTATAATCGTTTTTATATCATACCGTCGTTGATTGGACCGAATTAATCGGTCTCTATTGGCATATGAGCTCCTGTGCGAATGCCTCGATATTGCCTGTGTTCTAATTATATTACTGATGGATTGTGGCTAGCAGTGGAATCCAGGATACGCATTTCGTCCTATTTGGGACTCGACTCGTCAAGAAGTGGCTATCATGGCTCGGTGGTGTAGTGGATAACGCCATAGCATCTGAAGCGATCGCTCCCGAGTCCAAATCCCGGTGGAAGCAACATCACTTACTGGGAAGCAGGTACACCCGGCTGGTGAGTCCCAAATAGGACGAAGTACGCATCCTGGATTCCGCTGCTAGCCACGATCCATCAATAATATTATTTCATGCTGTTTCGACCAAAAATATCAGTCAGTGTCACCTGAGTAACACTCCAAGTTGATACACTTCATATCGGCGCATTAAGGTTGAAGGCGCCAATATGAAAGATGGGGAAGTAAGGAGAAAAGTAACCAAAGCATTAGGAAGTCATAGGAAGAGAATACGAAAGAGTGGAAGGAGAATGAAGTTCGATACGTCAATTAATCTAATGTGTGGATGCATCTGCATCACTGAAAAGTATCACCTGCAGTTCGCAACCATCGACTTCAGTTGCCAAATGGACCCCAACTCGAGAGTCTACATTTCTGCACTCGGCTGAGATCAACAGTGGAAGACTTATTGTAATAATGCCATGTTTTAGTCTGAACGCCTCTAACCTCCTTCTGGCCTCAAATTAATTCAGTCATCATTCTGACGAGGCAGACGTTGACTAGGCATGGGTAACACATGACTCAGTTATCTCAGTCGATGAACATTCGCAGCTTCATTAACGAAGTTACCTCTTTTGTTTAAGACTCTACTTTAGACTTCCAGTTTACTGTTGTGTTTGCATCACAACATGTGGCCTGTGCTATGCCCATAATGGCCATGTTTCACAGCTGTATAATAGAACAGAACGAACTGCAGCGTAGTACAGCCGGCCCTTAACAGTCGATCGGATATCATGATGGCGCCATAAATGCCGTAGGTTGACAAATACCAAATATGCCTTCATTATTAGTGTGGAGATTTCGTCGGTTACTGACGCACCAGGTCTGGTACGACTTTTTAAGTAGGTGAAATGCTCAAAGCATCCAACCACTTCACTACCTATCAACTAGAAGACTGTGTCTTTATGGGTTATTGATAAATTATTTTTTATATTAGAGAACGATATGTTGTATTTCATTACACACCAATTACTGCTACCAAATACGAAGAAACACAGAAAGGTGAGCATTATCAACTACTTTCAAACCCCGTTTACCTTCTGATCATTAGTACTTTGAAGCTGTGTACACTATATTAAATGCTAAGTAGGATAATGTTAGATGATGAACACAAAACAGTTCTTCCTTACCAACAATAGGGCTTTATTTTCAGTGAAGACTGACAGCACAATTAATCATCTTATTGCTCATAGTCAAATTACCATAATGCACAATCTGCTCTACATAAATGCGTAAAACGTCTACCAAATATTAATATTTAGGGTTTTCGTAGAGCGAATGTGTCGCTCTCACATTATACATAGAAAAAAACCGGGAAAATATGACTATCTGAAGTAGTTTTAAGTGGACGGCTGTAAAAAATTACTTTATCCCTCGACAATAGCAAACTTTAATCAATTGGCTTTGAATACCAATAAGGAGAGACTGCAGTATCGAACTAATTACGAATGACGTGTTCACTGAGCAGACTACATTTTCCAAAAAGCTGTTTGCCTCTTGAAACCAAGTCTTCAGAAATATTTCTCACATGTACCAATCTTTTGCATGTTGTCGGCAGAATATCCTACAGAAGGCTTAAACTGCATAAGTGTCTGATGGGACACCGCCTGTTGACACTATGAATGTACACACCTACGGGAGGGATCAAACAAATAAATTTCCTTCTTATGAAACTGGAGACACATACAGCAAAATAAACAGTAAGGATCAACAGCACCAAAAGCAAAATGAAACTATAGTAAATAAGCTGAATACAAACGTTACACCAAAGCTACTACGAAACAGAAAAGCTGAAGTAAACCATCTTCTACCTATCTTTAAGAACAATTACATCCAAAATCCAACACTGGTTAAAGGAGAATGTTTCACCATGGATGAAAAATGCCTTTAGATTTATGATTACGAATGAATCCGACTTTTGTTATAACTTCTTCCTCAGTTAGAATGGATATCAGTTGTAACAAAATAGGCTGCGAGAATATATATTGAACTTCCCAGACTTAGTTTCTGTATAAGAAAGCTAGACTAAACCTAAATAAGCAGAAATACTACTTCCAAATGACTTTCCGATATACTCTCCTTATAGGCACCAACGAAAATAACATAGTCAAGCTAGGCTTATATGTTACAGATGGCGATTTCTCGCTGTTAACTTGACCGAACCGATCAGTCACTATTGAGATATGGGATCATGCGCAGCTGCCTTGATAGTCCAAGTGACTTCAGTGTGATGATAATAATGGTTAGTGGCTGGCAGTGGAACCCAGGACATACGTTTCACACTATTTGGGACTCGTCAACCGGATGTACCACAGTCACCTGGTCCTAGGTGAATCATTGAGTTAAACAGTACAAAAATGACTACGAAAATAGATACGATGGAGAAAAATGTTTAATGCTCACACACTTGGTGCTGACCATACATTCTTATAAGGAATCCAACCGGATCCTCTAGACATCTTCAATATAAACAGGATAAAGTAACTGTCCACTGATGCCAAGTGAGTAGTTTGACTTGAGTGAGTGATCATAGAACCCAAAGGATTCATACTAGATACCGTATAAAATTTTAAATAAAAACTTACTACTGACACCAGGGCTCGATAATAATAATTTTAATTCTCAAGATCAGACCTAAGACGTTTAAACGCTCCTTTTGATAAGAAAACTGAGAAATCACTAGGAAAATATCCTACTAGCATTGTGCTTGATGCAACCAGTGATGAGAATTCACCTCTGAAACTACTATTTGGGATTTTTTTACTAGTGGTATGACATGCTTTCGGTATTAATGCTATCAAAATGGAAGGAATTTACGAAGTCTATCACTCAGGCAAGATAACGACCAATGTGATTAGTATATATCAAACCAGAAGGCACTACTAGGGCTGAAAAAGGCTTCAATGGATATAATAGAAACTGGAGAACGAAGCAACAAAATCAAATGCATACCAAAAGTATAGCTGATTGTAGCATTTAACGAAGATGGTCTTCCAGGCATTCTTTAGCTGCATTGGAATAATAGGGGTTAAACAAGACAAGAAATATCTCATGAATTCGACTACAATGGTGTAAGTAGTATTCAAGATATAATAAACTTGAAGAATATGTACGAGATTTGCATTCAAAATGTCATCCAGGATGATAATCCTACTAAGCTAACGACCGAGTTTAGATATGACCGCGTAACCTACACATATATAAACTAACTGATACAATATACGACAAAAGAAGGAAGATAAATATAACACTTTCATATCACTAGAGAAGAAAGGTATCTTAACATCATGAGCAGGAAACTCCATTAAGGTAAATGAAGAAAAACACATTTGGGGACTTTATCACATTTCTTTAGTAAAAACAGTTTTTAATATCTTTTTTAAGAGATTGAAATGTACAAGAACATTCGCACGATTTTTGGAGATCTATAAGGGTATATTCACAAAAATGTTTTGAAAAAAAATGTATATTGATGAAAACAATGTTTCACATTGAGACTCAAAAATGAGATAATGAAAAGCCGAGGATCAGTATATGTATGAAATATAACAAAAGATATAGAAAAAAAACGAGAAGTTATGGATGATCAATATTACACGTGTTCAACAATTCTGTACAGAGGATATGCTAAACTATACTTATTCAAGGATTGAATGATTTTTTCGCAGTCGAAAAATTAGATAATCAAACAAGGATAACAAGGATTTTGATTTTTCTTCTGAAACTGTCATGGACTGAGATGAAAGTGTTGTGCCAGTAGTACTACAAGTAGTAGTATGTGCCAAATACTGAGATCTATAATGACAATAGTCCAACATAGCATAGAATAAATCTTTAGCGTTCCACGAAGCTTCATAGACTAAAGAGACAACCGTTTGAAGCTGTAGTGGAAATAAAAGATTAGAAGAAAACAATAATTAGTTAAACTCAACTTATATATATTCTGTTGCATACATACTGAATGTGAACTAAGAAACTGCTTACAATCTGGAGGTCATGTGTTAGGGTATAAAGGTATCATTAAGGGATTTCAGAGAGAACAAGTCAAAGTGTGTTCGAACTTATGACTTAATAACTGGAAGCTAAAGGTATGTAGGCTATTGATTCATTACAGAAGGGATTTACGAAGATGAGACTTAGCAAAAAAAAGAATATTCCAAGAAAGTAAGTCATACAGTTCAATAATCAGTGAATGAGAAAAGGAAGTAATTGGAAAATGTTCATAAATAGGATATAAATGAGTTTGGTAGTACGATGAAGTGAAGAAAAGAAGCATCTCTTTATAGGATAGTTCAACACGCTGATAAACTGATTACTATCCATCAACCAGTGAACTCAACTGTAATCATCTTCACTATCTATCGAATTTAGTAGTTCTGCGATATTTGTCTTATTAGACAATTAAAGTGAAAAGTCTGATTTTATGCTTCGAATTAGGTGAATTGCATAAAAAATTTTCCGAATGAGGTAATAAAAATTGTCAAAAGCTGTGAGATAAATTTCATATAATGGAGATGCGGAACTCATTGGATTAGATAAAAAAAGCAAACTACTTTTAACCAATTATTCATATGCTCAACATTCAATCTAACCACTAAGGTTTCGGTAATAGTGTAGTATCAGTAAATTTCATAAAAAGGGTATGTGCATGTGTAGTAGGTGAAGCTTTACTAAGTTGTTGGGATAAACTTAGCTTACATTTCTTATCCCTTAGTGAAGACACAGACTACACTACTATACTGGTAAGTTGGAAGTCACTCATACATCTTCCACAACAGTTACTACAAAACGAACACTAATAAATTTTCACGGATCTCCAGAAAGATTCAAAATTCTACACAGGGAGGCAGCTTAGTGAGCAGAAAGAAGTATGATGATGCTATATGCACATTGATTGGACACGGGAGAGCAACAATTTTCATGTTGTGAAGTCCTAAGTGCAGACCGAATCCTTTCGATCATATTTGTAATATGGCCACCAAGCTACGAGGCTCAGCATCGCGGTTTGCATTAGTAGATGTTAGTTGGTTGGAAGCAATCGCCGACTACAACACTGGCTGATACAGGTTCGAATCTCAGGCAGGACATCAGTTCCGTTGAGGTTGCAGATACGCCTTACTAATAAGTGTCAGCAAGCACGAAACCTAGGTCTAGGGGTCCCTGTCAATTGTCTCCAACCAACTAAGATTCTACGTCTAACCATATATATGTATATATATGGAATCAAAGCGAACAAATGATTTCTCAACAATAAACCGAACACTCGAGTCATGCGCAAAATCCAAAACATAGGATTTGTCTGAAATACAGTTCTGTATTGATAAACAATAGTGACTCAAAAATTAAAAACCTCGAATCATGGGGTATCTGTGGGTTCATGGCTATCAGAACATCTTACAGAGAGTGCATCAACAGTCAAAACACCGACTCTGTCTCCAAAGTAAACCAAGAGAAAATATAAAGGACGCGTATATGTTCTCACAATAAGGTAACGACTCAAGATAAACAAATGTCCAAGGTAAAATACACCATCAGGGAACAACGAAAGATATCATAACACCATCATGAACCGCAAAATGTACTAATATCTAGGGATATTAAACGATGGACAAGATACGATCGAGTAGCATATATATATATATATATATATATATATATATATATATATATATATATCTCAATAATTTACCCCTTTCAATTTTTCATCACCATTTGTACAACAAATCAATGGTGAACATGAGTGTTCCACTGAAATTTGATCTTTGAGTTCTTTTAATTTATTGGTCAAATATTCACGACTTGTATCTTTATCAGCATTCTTATCAAATGTGGAATTCATTTTATTCATTAAAAAATTGATCTTGGAACAAGGTGAATTGTAAATTAGTGCAGCAGATATCCATTGAATTAAAATTTTCATTTGTGGGTCTGAATAATAATTGGATGGGTATTTTTCTACTCCAGCATCGAGTATTAGACCTGGAGGTCGTATGTTTGAAGAATTATATTGATTTGAAACAGCTGTTTCAGGGTCATTGTTGTTTTTATGGTTATCATCATCGCTATTTGAATTCATTGAACACTGTAACAGTGAAATAAATAAGTAACAAACAAACAGATGAACAAGAACTTTTCTTCAGATTTTATGTAGGTTATTAATTTCTATTTGTGGGAATTCTGCTACAGTTGTCTAAGTATTTGAGTATCGGTCTACCCAGTTGCTAAATTAAGTATACCGGCTACTGGTTCAGTATGAATCCTCAAACAATAAGTGTATTTCATAGATTGCAGTAGGGAAATGAATGAGATCGATCAGTAACAATGAAAATTCGCTTCACTGAGCGGAATATTGTATAATAAAGGAATAATATAGTGTAATAGCTTCAATACTTGAGTTTAAGGCACTCGGTCCTGGGTTGAAACTCCACTTTGGAGTGGTAATCGGGTGGTACCTTAAGTACCCACACAATAAGTACGGCTTATAGTCTAGTGCATAAACGTGTGCCGGGCTAAGTTGCATGTTTTTTAAACTTGATTGTTGGCAGTCACCAGCAAACTGCTTCTAGATACTTGGAGGAAGTAATGACTTTAGAGATTCTAACCCAAGCAGTTTAGTACCTCAATCACAGACGCCACCACTAAGTTGTTTAGGTCGCAAAATATCAATACTAGAAATGCAAGTTGATATTCTGTGAAGTTATGAAAGACAAGATGTCAATACAACAATCTAAACAAACTTGAGTGACCATAACTGTACTGATTAACCAAGCATTTGTCAAACCAGGAAACCAAGAAATTAGGTCTGGATTCTTTACGACTGTTATTCTTGTTATTTACTTTTAACTGTAAAAACAGGTAGCAGATATTCACTAAATCCCTTTTACGTTTATAAAACAAATCAGTTATCATTGATTCAAACACTGTCAATGGATTTTATGATTTAGGGAATATGTGTGTCTCAATCATTTCCTTACTTTGATGTCTAAAATCGAAACTGTACAACCAGCTTTCTATTAAACGCCCCTACAATACCTAAATAGCATATTGGCTAGGTGACAGAGAAATAAAACAACCATATAAGCATCTTGTTTAGGTATTTCGGAAACATGTCACAAATCTGTGTCTTAAGATTTTAAAATTTAGGCTTATGCTGTTTGTTGTTCAATATGTTGCATATAGTTTGGAGAACAGTTTCAGAAGACATTCCCTTCAACTTAGCAATAAGTTGTATTTTGCAGCAAATAACTTCTGTACATAACACTCTATATAAATAAAAAACGTTTATTTCATCAAATTAGACAAATAGTCTATCTTATTGATATTTTATTCCCTGAAGTCCTTAGAGAAATGACTCTAAAGGCCACCTTAGCAACAGCCAAAATAACCAGTCATATTTCTCTATTTTACGAGAATCTGCCCTTTCAGCAGAAATACAAGAACCTGATCGATGATTTCGGTGGCCTTTAAGGTCACTCGCTTATGGGCTATCATCATTTAGATGAGCATATTGATAAGACTGTCAATATGATAACAATCTACTCGGTTACTTCAGTTTACTGTTAGTTCAATTAACACAATCAACTAGGAAAGACTGAAATGAATGCAACAATTCATCAACCACCAAATGTATGCTCATAGAAAACTACGTTATATGTCACATCGATTGGATGACATTTAATTATCCTATATCACTGCTCAAAACTCAGTAGGTGTGACAGGGGGGGTTCGAACTAATTAGGTGGGGGTTGAATGCTAAAGATAATGAATTATAACACAGTTTAGAATACTTATTATGAATATTAGATAATGCTAAAAAATAGGCAAAAAGCTAGCCAAACAAACCTACATGATTCAAATAAGACGACATTCTCTGAACATAAATTTCTCCAATTGATAAAGTGATACACCGAACAACTAAACTATTGACAAATTCAGATAACTTTTTCGAGACAAAAATATGCGGTAATCTATATATGGTAGAATCGTGTTGTCTAGATACAAATTTTTTATGGTCAACGTTAATTGTTAATAATTGATCATTACATGTAGTAGAACTTGTAACAAGAAACTTGTCATCATCATATGACTCCGTTTTATCCTTTACTGATTGCATAATTGTATATGGTTGTTTGATAATCTAAAATGGATTCAAAAGAAGTTGTAATTATCTGGTGTTCTCGAGAGTTTGACACTTGGATATTAACACGACTCGGTTTATTTATGGTTTACTTTATAACAAATAGCAAGATAGGGAAGAAGGTAGAGAAAAGTGAGATCATCACCACAAGTATAACTTGGATTTCAGTATTTGCTTCAAGTAAAACAACATACTACTTACTAATTTTGACTACAATATGATTTTACTCAGTAATTTCTACTTAAATCAACAGTACGCTTTGAAATATTGTAGTAACTAAGTATTCTTAAAACTTCGATCATGTTTAGTTTTAACATTGTTTATTGACAACACTCTTTTCGACTAGGGAATCTGATCATTGTACAAGTTGATGATGATTACCTTTGATAGAAAACCTGGATGGTGGTACAACTCAAACCAGGGAAAACAGGCATATATCAAGGAGCCGGTAAACATCATTATTAGCTTTATGCCTGTAGCTTTTTCATGTCTCCTAATTTTAAAGATCCTATTTTGTAAACGTGTATTAGAACACGATAGTTGAGTATATGCAAGCGGATATTCATCGATGCTGAATGCAATATAGGTTAATGAGTACTGAATTGAGCATATTATGTACAAATTGAAACTGTTACTACAATACATGAATATAACATCTACACAAAACATAAAATGACCGTCTGCCTACCATGAAACCTTCTGTAAGTTAAAAAGTCTTTTTTCATTATGCTTTTGTCATGCCGGACACAACTGCATTCAAATATACTTACACCAAGTAAATTGGAAACAAATGAAAATTTGAATTTAATAGAGAATAATCATTTTTGTCAAAGAACCAAGTTTAGTGGAATAAAATGAGTTCACTCGATTTAGAGGCTTTTCTTCAACTGTCCAAAAGGTACAGAGAAATCAGAACATCCATTTTTATTGACTAGAAGTGAACATTAAGCTTAGTGAAGTTTGACTAAACACAAACGGGACGAATTTTGTTACCAACGTTACAAACGATCCAGAAAAAAAGTTTATATATAAATAATTAGGAATAAGATTGAAAAATTGTTAGCAAGTGGTTTACAGCGAAACTCATCATCTAGTAAGTCTGGATTTCTCCATCGGTAAGAAAGATGAATGAGCAATCAAGAGAGGCATATATTGGAACCAGTGAGTTACGGTTCGAACACCGTCCCAATAACCACAGTTCGGACAACTAAATATTATCATTAGCCCTCATACAATAGGTCTGGCTCCTTGTCTACTGAACTTATGTGCACAAGGTTGCTGAGTGGATTTCAGTTTCGGTTCAGACATTGCAAAAGCATAGGTTACCGTTTCATAGAGTGAGAAAACTTTGCTCTGATGATAAACAGTATGATAAGTTAACTCTCCTTGAAGTGCATCGATCTGAAAATGGTTATCCAAGGAAGTAGTCAATAAGTAAATACGGCGAACAAAAATAAAGTTACGAGGGTCAAGAAAAAGTCCACCTTTATTTAGTTAACCCTCAAGGTAGATGGCATATTTGAACGAAGAGGTTAAGACTTCCTCTTCCTGGAACTTGTCTAGCTGTCAAACTCATTTTTCTGTACTGCACTATACGTGTCGTTTCTTAATAAAGAGTGGATCAACACTTAACTGAAGTAGTTTCTAAGTGTATCTACAAATTCAAATGTACGGGTCAAATCGAATACATTGGATAGAAAGATAGAATTCTAGCTGCTTTTCTCAATATACTCCGAAAACGCTATGACTTAAAGGAGATCAACTTTTCTCTAGTTCAAACACTGGGAACCTAATAGATCGGGGACATAAGGTGGATAGATCAATCACCTCTAAAAATCTGAAAGAATGAAAACAATCCAACTTTCGACCCCTTCTTGGCTCTATAAGCTAACATTATGAGTAGGATCTTTTCTTCACACTGTAATTTCTGCAACAGTATCTAAAATAGGATCGATGAAATTACCTCTAGTTTTTTCGCCTATGGACGAGTACTGTGAGCTTTTCCAAAATGTCCCATGGAACCACTTTGGGATCCAAATTTACTTTATTTCATAAAATCGACTCGAATCATGCAATTGTTTACTTGATCTATGTATACCAAAGAGAATCTGTATTTAATGTGACCCTACCCCGATAACAGTATTTTGACCTAATTACATAACCTTTCAATTTCCATGTCTTAACATATCCTATGTACATGCTTATGTAATATAAATCAGCTGTTCCCTACATTGTTATGAATTCAAAATGAAAGCCAGTAACTAAAATTCCTTGAATCTTCTTCCCAATGACTTATTAATAGACAATTTTTCTCACATCATTCGTAAAGTTTATGGTAGAATTCGTTTCCCCGGTGGAGTTATAGGTGCGCACAGCTGAGGAGTCCTATATCAGGAAGAAACAGCTGTCTCGTACTTCCAGATTTTTAACAGTTCTCCAACTGATGTCAATCTATTATTAATACCAACTTGAAATCATCTCCAATTTATTTAGTCAAACTTCATCAACCTTTGTATTGATTTCAATGCAACAAAGAAGTGTATCCTGATTTCATTAATTTTATGTACATTTTTGCTTATAAGTAGCTAAAATAAACCTTAAAATAGAGTGGAATTATTTTATTCTACAAAATTTGGTTCTTCTTGACTTGATGAAAATGATCAAGGGGACATATTGTACGATTAAGACTAATGACTAGAGTTTAGTAAAATAACCAACAGGAAATTACACGTGCACACAAATAACACAAAATACCGAATACACAATGGATGACTTTTGTGAGTCATTAACTCAGTAGTATAACTGCTGTGACATTTGAAATGATGGGTGCTGGATCCTCATAAAAAAGCCGATAGTCAATAGGATCCATGTACATACATTTAGCTGACTTGTAAATACGGTGAAATACAAAAACCAAGTTCCACTTCTAGGCGCAATTACGCTAATTATACATTTACGCCATTGATGGACTTTATCAGAATGGCTGATTAGTTTATTTCATAGAATAAAAGTCCATATGATAAGAATAAAATTTTTAGCATTACTGACTGTTCAGTCTACTGTATTATAAATTCTCGACATACCAAATACAATTAAAGCTGACAGAAAAAGATGTTTGGTGTAGTGAAATATGGTTTTCCAAGCCAACTAACTTTAGTACTGAATGAAGCAGGTTCGAGTCTTCGAGAGGATATGAGCTTCCTCAAATACACAGATATACCTTGTCGATTACTTTCACTACATTATGCCACAAGTGGCAATCTCTTACAATCTTGAATGCTGACCAAAGATTATCTGCCCATATGTATCATTCCTAACTATAAACAATTCATGTAGAAATGTATAAAATTGACAAATCAATTGAGTAGTTCACATGCAAAAGGTTTCTACAAACAATCATCAAGCTATCAATGACCGAAAACTGAACAAAAAGTGTAACCCCCAATATACATTACCTCCATCGGTGAAGAATTCTTTATTTTGAAACATTTTTTCATCGAATGAGTAGACTGACTACAGGATCCAATATTCTGCTGATGTATTTGATATTGTGAGTAATCTTCCTTTTTATCAGTGTCAGTGTTTGTTTTATTGTATTCAGTATTCACAGTATCCGTTATTGAATCCATTGAATGCACATAACTACAGTCATGATTATTTTTAGTATTGTTTTTATCCTCAATTTTTGAATACTTAGCCTCAGTAAGTAATTGTTTTGATAATTGATTTGACCACTTCATTAGCTTACTTATATCTTTAAATACATTAGAAACTAATTTATCAGCGTATGTGTGCAAGTGATGAGTATGTAGAATTGACAAATTTTGAGCCTGTTGAAAGAAAAAGCCAAACCAACTAAGAATAAATAACGTATAGGAAGAAAATTATTCTATGAACATACAGTTTCCTAAGTACTGATAATTTAACTGGCATACAGACAACAACAACAAAACTCTTTTGAGCTATACGATTAGATAACACTTAAGTTTACCATCTGGTTGAGCTCAAACGTGAAATGACAATAAAGAAAACTCGATAATTTTATACAGGTTTAGATATGACGTAAAATGCTATGCTTAATGCGCAGGCATAAATTGATAGTACTCAAACTAAGGCTGTTGAGTATGGTTTAGAGTTGAGAGCACAAACTAGTTAACTAAAGCTACAAAACAAGTAAACCCTATAGATGAATATGACATCATCATATATCTGTCATACAAATATCTCGACTACTGTTCAAAGTATCTTGGAAATATGACTTCCGATGGACGATAAGACTCAGTAGTGAACCACTCGAACTCAAAAACCGAACCCTGAGCATTTTATTCTGATCCCAACACCGACCATTAGAAAGCTAGAGCAAGGCAATGGAGGAATGAACTGAAATGGTGTATCTCCACTCAAATTGAACATGGCTATGGCAAAATATAATACCTATTTATATGCTTATTGGCACTCATCGATAAGCCGTATCTACAACCATGAGGAAACTGGTGTACTATTAAGCTATTCAGGCTCGAGTAGCTTAGTGGTCAAGTCTCCAAATTCAGCATCGAATGACGTATGTTCGAACCATCAATAAGGGAACATCAGTTTCTTTATGGTTGGAGATATGCTCTGCTGGTGAGTAACAAAAAGCAAGGAGCCTAAGGTTAAGAGTGTTCTGGCGACTGACTTCCAACGCCAGAGTACAGGGCACTGCAGTGTCATATCAATTCGCTTAGTGGCCAAACGGTAGAACTTCATCGATAGATTTCGATCAGTACTAAGCAATCAGGAATAAACGGATATATCAGTCAGTCAATGGTGACAGTTCGTGCATATATATACCGACTAGTTGTTAATGAATAACTCACACACTTGACAGATTCTTCGACTAAATCATCAGCGTAACAGTACACATCTGGTTTTTCAAATTCTCTATGTTTAATGAATGTAGAATGATTTGAACCATTGATTTCAAAGCTCCTATAAAAGATAAAAGGGGGAAAATGGTAATATCGACAGTTTAAAACTTTTTATGGAGTAAGGTATTATCTACATGAAATATTGAACTAAACTCAATTCATTTCAAGAAATAGATAAGTATAAACTGTATTCTGTGGTTGTTTGGGATGGAATTTTATGAGGAGTCAAAGAAAGCCTCAACAATTAAATACTTAAGTATGCATCAATGAATCACTAGATCAAGACAACTGCAACTATTCCAATTTGAAAAGTTGGTTCATAGTCTTATTCAGTGTAACATAGTAGCTGTGGGTCAAATTTTCTACGCCGAAAGTCATATACGCATGCAACAAAATTGAGGTACGACTTTATGATGTCAATACTTAATGTTTTTCTTTGAATGAACCTTCAGTTCAGAGCATACGAAAACATTTTTTGCCAATCCGAATATACCTTTTTGTCAAGTGTGGTGCATTGGTCTAAGTTTAGACCCCAACACACTTGCCTTAGCCTGAGAAACGTTTTAGTATCATATGCCACCCCCCCCACCCCCCTAAACACACACACCAAGTGTGGGATGTCTTAGTACAGTACTTAGTATACAGTGTATAGAATTGAGTCGATTTACTTATTACTTTTACTCAAACCAAGCGTCAAAGACCTACAGAATCAGAGCCACATCTTAGCTTGATCCCCTTTAACTCTCAAAAGCTTGTTCTGCTACAGACAATACAGCTACTTCATGTAAGTGGTGGGCAGTTAGATAGGAGTAAGACATTTCCAATTCACCTCCGTCTATGACGGTTCACAACCTCATCTGATAGTCTACCCTTAGTCTATAAATTGCATAAACAGTAGTTTTACGAAACTGCCATGTTGTGAAGGTATCCCTAATGCTATTCAAGAAATTATAAGATACATAACTAACTACTTATCAGTAGTTGAAGTATTAACAACAAATTAAATGAAACATCCTGGTGTCTAAGCGAAGGAAATCCTTTACAGCAATTCATTTTTGAAACGTTGTGTAAACGTACATCAATATATAATTTTCGTTATGTAACCACTGTGTGCAAAAAAGAGAGAGGTAATCCTGTCACAAACAGCCATATTTAAGCATTATATGTTAGAAAATCGGGATATCTATAGGTTGATTTCATGACCCTTTCCCCAAAATGTTTCACAGTTGATTGGTAATTCTTATGTAGATTGCAAAAAACTAAAAGTATTCGCTTACATGAATTACTTGTATAAAAATGTAAAGTTCATAGGGGAAGAGGTTAAATTTTCCTCTGACAACCAATGTTGGAAATCAGTTCCACACCACAAGAATTGTTTTAATTTTTATACATTGCGTTTGCCTACATCTCATAAGTTACATAAATGCTCTCTACTGTCTCAAAAACCTATTTTACAGAAAGGCTAGTTGATAGACATAAAGAAACGAAAATAAAACGGATAACAACGAGATTAGGGGGTGGGAATACAAGTGAAAATAGAGCAACAGCACCGATACAGCTCATCCGACTCAACTGAATAAAGAGAGTCACCTACTCGGCCGAATCCAATTTCGGTAGCCAGCTTGTGCGTCATCAACTATCAGAAAATGCAAGGCATTTAGGACTTAGCTCATGAATCTCAATGTGAGTCCTCGGTTAAAGTGAACTACATCACCAAATACTAATTAAAAGAACACTAAGAACTAAATAAATCTTATGAGTAAAGTGTCAAATAATCTAGTATATCTTAGTTGAATTGTAAGTAAAATAGTTTCATATGCCGTTGAAAGCGTGTAGGTGATTGATAACTCGTATATGCCCACACCATGAAAATTGATGTCTTACCGGGGTATGTGAAAGAGAAAGTGGATTAGTTTTGTGTAACCCCAGAGCCCAAGCGACATCTGTTTGAGGAAGGTTACATACGGTCTGTTGTGTAGTTTCGATTCACAATTAATTTTTTTAAATACGGATTGAAGAAAACCCATACCACTGAAACCGGGGAAACATGACAGAATGAAGTACACTACATTTACAGCCAACATTTATTAAACCCTCCTTCTGATAGGAAAAGCACCATCAACATGGAGTCCTAATCATTCGCTCTGTCCCACCCCATACAACTAGTTGTTCCACGACTTATTCCTTGAATCGCCGCACAAACTATTTACAATACGACGGTAAACGCTTTAAGTCTTAACACTACACAAAAAACCTTCCCAACATGTTAGGACCTCTAAGAACAATCTGTTTAATCGTGGAGTCAGTGAGATATGCAAACCCGATAAGCTTTTCAAGATAGTAGTTGGCAGTTAGGTCACAGGTCTTCTACCGGTATATCATAAGGTAAACTTTGTTTCTAAAGTACATTTGTGGCTGACATTTCTTTGAAAAGTAAGCAACTGCTCTAACAAACAGCACAACAGCAAACACAAAGCCTGTTATAAAACGATAACGAAAGAAAGCTGATATAACTTTACCTAATATGATACACTTCCTCTGATATACTTTTTATGTAATTCTCTAGAATATAATAAAGCAGTTGACAGACATCTCAACTCATATGGAAGTTTATTTTGGTAAAATTGTTCACAATACTATTTTGACCAGTTCAAGCTTCAGACTATCCGAAGAAATTACTAACCTCAACTAAAAGCAAGATGATACGATGCATGAATGGGAGAATGTAGAAGTCGTGACTTCAGATGAAACAGCTGACAATAAGCATTTCGACATAAGCTCAATCAACAGTCTATTTCAGAAAACAATTATCCATTTAATAAGTGGAAAATTGTCTGGTAAATGATTAATCATCCACGGTGGCTGTAAAACGAAAAGCATAGTATCATTATAATAGAAATTCTTCTTGTGTCAATTTAATCTAAGGTTAAAGAGGTCAAGTATGCGACAAAAATCTCTTTTTATCTATTTTGCAAAGTGATTAGATGTAACTCAACCTGGTGCATATTATTATAACAGACTTTGAATCATACTTATTACGTAAGGGATCATGATAATATGTGAAACAAGGTTCGAACCCGAGAAATGATGCGTAGAAGTTGAATTCTTAAGCCAGTGAACCATATTTCTAATCCTGTCTACTCACAACTGGATAAAATCTAAGGCTAGCAAAAAAGGCTACTTAAACACTCATGTGACGTGTAAACACGCCTCACTTATTTATGAAAGTCACGCTGATGATTTGGCTAAGCCTGATGATAAAATACTTACAATGAGATAAAAAGGTTTAGAGAACGTCGAATCGAAACTGATATCCACTCAGCAACTAGGTGTGCGTTCATGTAGTAGGCAATCAGTCAAGATATGTTGCATGAGGGATAATGATAGCACCTAACTGGTTAAATCTCGGTAATTTGAGCTGGGCTCGAACCCGTGACCCTTCGGTTGGAAGTCGAGTGGATAGATTAATAAGCCACAGCTTCACATAAACAGCACCAAACACTTTCTATTCTTATTCTGAATATAGGAGTTTTACTATTATCTTATTATCTAATCCTTGCACTCAGAATAAAGAAAACACACCAAAGTAAATGTTATTCCCTTAATCACTGATAAATATTTTTCATCCCCTGATTTTAACGAATGGTTATTTCAAAGCAGTCAATCATACATACTTTCAAATACTTTATTGCTTCTGATGTAACTGCCAATCGTGTATCATTTCCTTAACCACTGCTTACAAAGAAGTATAAACCATGCTGGCATTCTTGGTCATTAAATGTACATACTAACTATATTTAAACGTAATTCTAGCTGAAACTAAACTTGTTCACTGAGTTCTTTACTTTGCGCTACATATCAAAATACAAACATTTTAAACGTTTCTCTTAGAAAAGAAGCCCATCTTAACGAAACAACAAGATCAACCTACCTAGGATTATATTGGGGTGGATTAGACTCAACAACATTTTTGCACCGTCTTTCATCCAATTCAGTTATATTCAATGGTTTTACCACATTCAAAGTATGCTGGATTGACTTGTCTGCATGAATTTGGGATTTCTGGTGGATTGTTTCACTTCTACAGTATGATGATTTATTACCTTTTATCCTAGTTATTTTATTTTCACTGTTATACATTATGGCTAGTATAAGCTTGTCAGCAAAGTGGATTATATCACTAGCCATTTTAGTTTGTACACATTTCATTGTACTGTCAGTAAGAAATACTGAAAGATTACTGCTGGATGAAATTGATCTATTTTTTGTATACTGTGAAGGAATTCTGGAGGCTAGAATAATAATGTAAGCCAAAAAAGACTATATAAATCGTTATTTCATGATATAAAACTTAACATACCTTATTTACACAATGGTTTGATGACTGGGACTGAAAAAATCAGGTTACGATAGGATTACATCCAATGGGATCTCGGCTACCGACCTTTGAACCAATACACTTATCTAGTGAATAGTTTTCCTGAGTTTGGAAATAAACATCAATCAATTCTTAAAATAATATTTTACGCTATTTTACAAACCCCTGAGAAATTCACACTCTTCACTACCTTTCACTAAATGTTTTTCATGAAAAAGAGTAGAGAAATGCTTCTTAACAGATCATTCAATAGTACCAGTACTGATGTAAGGTATACGAGAATGGGTGCCAATGTAAGTGTTCAACAATTCCTACTTTCTTTTTATTAGCTGCAATGAATGAAATCGACTTATGATCTAACAATAATCTTCAATTAGAACATTGTGATTACAAACAAACAAAGAGGGAAAAAAATACAAGAGGTAATCGAATTAAATAAATAAACAATTTTGAGTTGTAGATTGTCCAGAAAATGGAGTATATGCAAATGAGGCTATTTGTTGCATGAAAAGCAAGATGCAGTGAAATGAAAGATCATGGAATACGAAATCGATGGATAGAGTGATTTTTCTGTGAGCATAAAGATGATTTCCATACTCCAACCATTTAAGATAAGTCAAATAACCGGTAAAACTGGTGAGCACTCACCTATCACTTTCTGTAGACCAGTAAACACTTTAAAAATTACGATATTTCACGTACTAACTAATCTATAGGAATCAGAAGTAGTTCCGTCAAACTGCTTTGAATCACCTGTCGTTCTCGTTTGTAAGAAAAAAGAGGAGTCATCCAGTAATAAGCACAAGAGAATCACTTATTGGGTCGGAAGGTTTTGTATCAGTGTCTAATTGTGAATGAAGGACCAATCATGCATGTAATGCTAATCATTACGTATTGTGCATCAATTTTACGGTTATATTGTACAGATGTGAAACGCGGTTACCAAAAGTCAACGACATCAAGAAGTTACAAGTTTTTACCATAGACACCGCAGCATTGCTCGGGTGTGGTGGAATCACAAAGTGTACAGTACGCTAAGCGATATTAGTCGGTTTTATGAACCTTCATCAACTGATCTGGTTAAGATGTGTTACATATACCAGTTTACAGTCCTTCTCAACGTGCAGTGTTTACTGAAGTGGGATTAAGTTGCACGAAAACCAGGAGTGGGTGAAATTCAATTTTCATAGTGAGTTGTTCTCTGAGCTAGAATTATAGTTGGCAGACGTTTCTTTGTGAAACTTTGATGCACTGATAGTGATGTCTAGTATGATATTGGAACGTTTGCCAACTAAAACTCTAGCTCAAAGAACAACTCACCCTGAACGTCTATACCCTGAGCTACAAATATTCGCAATTTCTGGAAATTCAATTAATTGATATTCTGCCATTTATACTAACTGGCAAAACTCAACGTATTAATTGTTAAGCTCTGACTAGAATCAAACTGACCATAATTCAGTGGTTATTTCTTATGCAACTGATAGATTTTGTCTACTGGAACACAACTCATAGAAATAAAAGTACACGGCTTCAACTTTTGCCCTATCTATCATAATCTTAAGAATTGTGTATTATCACTAATGCTTAGATGAAATCAACAGTTTGAAAGGTAAAGTTACTGAAATTATTTTTGGCTGGCATTTCTACTAAAATGTTCTATTCCTTATATCCATAGATAGATGACAAAAAATGAGCAGTATATGTACTCTATGAAGGATCAACCATATCTTGAAACAATTTACTTTCCACTAGATATGAACGTACCTACATAAACGAGATTACAAATCACCTCTACCAAATCAAGTACAATATGAAGACATTAAATTTAGGATTTATGCTTATTCTTAAAAATTCAAAACGATATGCTTAAGGTCTTCAAAATAGTATATAACTTTTTCAAGGGTTAGTTTGTGTTAAATATAAACAACAAGTGGAGAATAAAATAAACATAACAGGCATTACTTGATTTCGAACCAAGAAGATAGTCCCACCATGATGAAGTGAATAGGCCAGGACGAATAATCTATAAATAAATAAATCATATAGATGACTTAGCCCTAGGTTAGTCTTCATGATGATTAAACGAATAATTATTCATTCTAATAATACCAATAATATTTATTCACGGCATCAAAAACATACTTTAAGATAAGCTTCTATGGATATGTTACCTTTCAGAAATACAAAGTGAAGAAATCTGAAAAATACAAAAAAACTCTTATCACCAACCATATTCAAGTGGAATCATATGATGGCTGGATCACGTAACAGACTGTGATGAGTGAGAAGAGGGGTATACTATGGCTGGACCGATGAAAAGATCCTAGAAGATTTGGATTTCACCAATGATGATTTATGTCTAATATCGCACAAGCTCAAAGATCCACAGGCGAAAACCAACCAGTTGACAGAAGAGGCAGCGAAGACTGGACTTTAAGGGAATGTAGAGAAGACAGAGGTGATGAAGATACCCATCTAACAATAACAACAAGCATCAATCATCATGAAAGGGAGAAACCTAAAGGAAGTAGTCTCTTCCACCTACCTAAGCAGCATCGTTTCAACCACAGGCGGCACAGATGAGGATGTCGAAGCCAGGATGGGAAAAGCAAGACAGGCCTTCATTAACCTGGAATCAGCGTGGAGATCTACTGTACTCAGTACGAAGCGTGGACAAGATCCGGATTTTCAACACTAACTCAATCAAGTCAGAGCTTCCACGTGGTGGTTGAGACTTGGCGCGCTACGAAAAGTATCTTCAACAAACTGCAGACACTATACATAAACGGTTGCCTACTTTCGATACTGAAGATCAGACGGCCAGAATAATAATAAGCAACAAGGAACTGTGGCTGGCAACGAACCAATCAAGAACCTATCGCCCAACAAACATACAGAAGAAAGTGGAGATGGATTGGGCATACACTGAGACGATCATTCAGGGAAATCAAGCGCCAGGCCAGGACGTCGAGTGGAACCCAAAGGGGAAACGATAAGTTGGGCGTCAAAGGGTGGAGGGGGGAGACGGTGTGAGGAAGAAATGAAAGCTTCTGGGCAGTCGTGGAGCCAGGTTGAAAAGACTGCAGAAAAGAGAGTGAAATGGTGACGTGCTACTGAAGCCCTATGTTCTACTAGGAACCTAAAGGACAGATAAAAAATAAATTAATAAAATATGATGGCTCCCAATCAGTCTCACAAAAAGTTTGGAAGTTGATAGATTGCGTTTTCAGAAAACTAATGGTACTATTAAGTAGGTTATCATGATAACCGTTTGTCAACGCGTCACATGTTGGAGTAATGGTATGGTCAGTATTAAAAGAGACGATAACAAGGGGAACTGGGAGGGCTGTAGAGGAGCTAGGGAATGTGAAGAATGATGCCTTGAAACACGCATAGGAGCGGTTGCACAGCCGAAAAAAAGTTTTTGATGCTAAGAAGCCACAAATGTTAGTGACATAACAAGGTAGGATTCAGAGATTTTACGGCCAACTTATTTCAGCCTTTTCATCTTACACTCATACTGTAGCTTGTTTTCCAATGGAAATAACCTAGTGCTGGCACATTTTGTAGCACTCAACAGTGAAATTTCACTCTTAGATGCCTAACATAGTACATATATTCGCATTAAGATAATGTCTATGATTGATCTTGCCAGTCTCAAATCAGTCTTCTCATATAATTGGACCTCCAGCAACTGAGTGCCCACTAAGTGCAGTTCGAGTAGACAAATATCAAAGCACAACACTAAGGAAATATCTGTCGACCGAAAAAGCCATATATATATATATATATATATATATATATATATATATATATATATATATATATATATATATATATATATATATGAACATTTTATAATCTTTCGATTAGTCTCGACTTTGTACAAAAACATAATCGAATGTACCATAGTATTTTAGATGGTGTAAGTGGTTAGTTAAGGAAGAAAGTCTAAGATAAAACTGTGAGCAGTGAACTTCAAGTACGGTACATTTTCTTCCACTATACTACTTTATACTACCCACTCACTTTGAAAGAGCTCGATAATATCTAGATCACCTCATATTTGTTGAATGATAAGAGAAAAACCATAACTTATAACTGATCGAATTAGCGTAATTTCACAACACAACAGCAAAAAACGTTAATGAACTTATCATTTTGGCTCTACCATTCCATATTGGCTGCACAACGCTAATATAAGACCCCTTTACATTCCACAAAGAAGTACACAATCAACACATTTTTACTAAGCTAATGGGTGCATGACTGAAATGACCGGCCGGCGGTTGAAATGAGCTCGTCAAAAAAACTAGCTTCAAGGCTTGACATTAAAATTTAAAGCTAGTCATCATTATTCAAAGTATTGTTATATAAATAGATATACAACACTCGATAATTTCAATACAATCTTGATTGGATAAGATTCAGTAAACTTACTTCATCACAATACTCCAATTCACCTGGAAAAAGACCAGCAGAGACAAGGGTTATATCACTAACAAGGCATTGTTTAAAGTACTGGATTTCAGACAGCCAGGCAGGGTATTGATTACTATTTAACAAGATGAGACGACTCCATTTAACACCTTCCTGAGATATGCGATCGGTCTTTATAGAATCTCCAAGCGCTTCTGGAAAGAAAGGTCCACGAAGATGATCTATCCAAATAGATTCTCCATCATTCAAGTGTTGACACAGGGGAATAATGGAAATTAAATCTGGATATCGTGAGAATAGTGATTCAGTTTGAGAAATACCACAACCCATGAATTCTCCTCCTACGCGCGAACCCATAAAATGAACCTACAGTTCACAAAAACAGCTTGAGATCGAAAATCGGGAAGCATTGTTTCACTGAAAATATAGAAACTTGGCAAATCAGGGACACCATACAAGATATAACACTGTAAGGATGCAAAATATGCAGTAGTACATGTGATCTTAGTGATTAGAATGTGGAGTTAAATAAGGACCTAAACAAAGAAGATCACTTCATATCTTTTAACGTTTTTTTATGTAGGAATTAAAAGAGAATTGTACCACACTCCCTACTGATTGTAGTTTCACAGTCAGCAAAAGTTAAAACATTATGCGGTTCACAAGACTATATCGAAGGAGTGAAGAAGAACCTTCAGGTAACAATACAGTACAAATAAGCTCTATTTCGTGAAGTCAGGTTGAAAAATTACTGTATGCAAGGTTGTCTTTCCAATTTTAAAGTTGCCATATACTTTTTTATATGGAGATCCCAAACTAACCTATTTTTAGCCTGCAACCCTCAGAAAAAGATGACTGTAAATCTTGATACCCTTAATTAGAGTTTCCAAGATATCAGTCAACGTTTCTGATTTCGTGTTTGTAGAAAATGATTCTAACATGTAACTGTATCCAACGGCTCGAATGTACGCAAGACACCATGAAGTATAACAATTTTATATGTGCGGTATAATACAGGAGTTGATTATTTTGATCAGAACTCATTTAAAATTTAGGTAGGCTTGAAATAACCTTGAATGCTTTTCCCACAGTTCTTACAGTATGAATATTATTTTAAACATCGTCAGTGATGAACTAGTATTCAAGTGATTTTGAGATAGTATATAAACTTTGTTTACGAGGAATGCAGCCACAATTTTATTCTAATTAATGAAACTCTAATGGTTTCATTTCCATGTTAGCCACTGACGAGAACAGGTTCGTAAGTGAATCTCTTCTTATTAACTCCATGGACATATGTAGATCATCAGTTTGAAACCACTGGTCCTTCAATTTTCCAAGATGGACGTCTTGGATCTACAGGCTCAGCTCCAATTATAAACACTTGCCTTAAAAACTTTGCTTCTATGGAAAAATCTTAATTTTGCCAACAGATACTAGATGGTGAGTAACCGTTAGACAGCATTTCAAAAAAATTAGTTATCGATCCTTAATTATATAGTGGTATTTAGAAGTAAATGAAATGTATCATAAGGAAATGCAACACATGCAAGAAATTGTAAACGACTGCAGCAAAATCTATCGGGTTAATTGCTCCGGGTATAATTTATTGTCCATATCCATATCAGGTGAATGATACGAATATGAACAATAAATTATTCGAAACGTTATCCAGTAAATGACACTGTTTCACTGGGTGACATTTCTAATGAACAGACTAAAACGGAACCCAAACGCTAGTTTTGAAGGGTGAAAAGTCGACAAGATTATATTTAACCGGTCTGTCATATGTGCAACTATTTTAATTCAACTTGTGATGAAACTCAATATAGCTAAACGGTAGCAAGATAGGAGTAGATCGAATGACGTGAACGCCAATACATGAATGCCCGCTAAATATTTCAAACAAGAAATATTTGAAAGAACAACTGTTCTTCATAACCTAGCTACCGGTTCTCACCCCACTGATCGCAGATAGGCGCAATGATATATATATAATGGACACAAATTCATATTTATCAGCCCCGAGTCTATATGCTTTTATGTGATAGATTTGTTATTACTAGTACTGTTGATATCATTCCAGTGCAAATTTTACTGAAATTTGAGTTATCTCTAGCAACTAAACAACCTTACCCAACACAACCCAGTGTTGATGTCTGTACTCAATTTGTGTGCAAAGAAATACCAATCTTTTGTGGTTAGTCTGGTCAATAACAAATGCATTCCCATTCCACTTACTTTTTTTATTTTATGTTCCTTAAAGCTAATAAGAAGCCACCAAACGAAATGACTTAACTTGTTCTGGAAACCTTGTCTGGTGAAAATTTTCGATTTAGTCGACTTTAGAGGATACAAACCACAACAAAATCACACACTAATTGCTCCCCAAACAAAAACAATATTTTATTTATGAGATGAATAGGGATTTTTAATTTAGAAGTATTCATCATGGATTAACATCAGTTGGGGAACCATTGAAAATCTGGAAGCACTGGATAGCTGTTTTGTCCTAGTATGGGACAGAAGTTAAGAATTGTGAACTGCTGAAAATTGACCCAGTGGCTGAGTGGTTAACGCGTTCGCCGTGAAACCTGAAGGTCCTGAGTTCGATCTCAAGCCGCGTCGCGGGTGCGCACTGCTGAGGAGTCCCATACCAGGACGAAACAGATGTCTAGTGCTCCCAGGTTCTCAATGATTCCCTAACTGGTGTTAGTCCATGATGAATACTACTTCTAGAAACAATGTTCACAGGCTTGCCAAAATATAAGTGTGGAACGTTTCAAAGTTTGCTGGTCTGTTTAGTTACTTAGATAACTTCCTCTGTCAAGATTTTTCGTGCGAATTTACAAATAAAGCGTAGAGGTGAACATGAGATACGTTTGATGGCTATTTAACAATAAATTCACCAATAAAATATTTCGCTTTCCAGGGGAAAGCTTATCAACAGCCAAAAGATGCGCAGTAGGAATAGATAACTACAAAACAACAATGAATATAGATTAAGTAAAAATTTTACTTGGCATTATTCAACGACCAACACCTATATTAGAAAAGCGAATAGGTAGCTAAGTCTAGGAAATTAAGCAGAAGAGACAAGTGGGCAGACTTACCATTGGAAGGCCTGCGTCCCGAGCAAGTTGATCACTACCACTTGTGTTGTCAATCAACAAATAAGGGAGGCGGGCACAAGATAAGGCGTTTGGAAGGGCCTCACTAAGCGACAGCAAAATATCGTCTGTTACAATGCTCTTCGGAATACTTTCCGGCAAACCTAAGCATGACCAAACTCGACGTGATATAATCAGTCCCTCTGATGGCGACAGTTTAGAAGTTCGGCAATGATCAAAATAAGAGATTACACATCGCAATTTGTCTGTCTGCATGGATCTGGCGCAAAAATTATACAAAACATAAGCATACCCGATTACGATATTTACATAAATAACCGTAAAATTAATATCACCCATCCACTGACCGAACTGTGGATGGATAGGTAATAGACAAAGAAACGAACTAGCTACGATTGATGTAGAAATATCATAGCGTATTGACCTGGAACATTCTAAAATTGAACATAGGTTGGACTGATACATTTTTACTTTGGTTTTGAAGGCAATATGACGGTCTATGCTCACGCACAAGGTTCTCAATAATCACGACAGAATTTATTATGAAAGGCATAATATACGATTCAAAATACGCCCTTTCCTCTGGGTTCATACAAAGTTCGATGAAATTCCCCAAACCAACATATGTGCTATTAGCTGACCAGGCTTTAAGATGCCCTACTTGCTTCAGAGGGCTGTGAAGTGAGCCCTCGACTTCATTTAATATTTGAAACGTTTCGACAAGACTTCTTCTATTCTGAATGACGCTCAATAGGGCACATTTTATCTTATTCCACTCAACTAAATCACAAGGCAGAAAAATATCGTTCGGGATGCACATGTGACCTCCAAATTATAACACGAGTATCAAATTAGCCGGGACAGGGTTCCAATGACCAATATCCAATGCACATCGGCATCTTGGTACAGCCACCCAAATATACTATTCCATCTGACTACGTTATTGTGTTCTTCCTTGGTCCCGTATTAGTGGGTATATAACAAGTCCAAATAATTAGTGATTGGTCTTCGTGTCTGACAAGTTCGCACCAGGACAATTCCTGAATTGGTAAGCCCGATGTGATCACATGTCCCGATCACTAACAAGTTTTGAATTGGTGGACGTGTTCCATTTTACATTTGTATATTGTTTTCATTTCGATAATATTCATATATTCATTTACTACACTTTCTCATGTCCGACCACACTCCTAAGCTTATTCATATTAAGCCGACTACGAACACGACCCAACTCGTGCCATATTGGACAGACAATGCAGAAACATGGTTTCTGTATGCCGAGGCCGATTTTCGAGAACAGGGAGTAGCAGATCCTCATTCTTGATTTCTTGCCATCATACGTTCACCACCGCGGGAATTAAATAGACATGTTACGGCACACATGTTCAAACCTGAAGTAAGTGATCCTTATGCACTTCCAAGGCAGCACTCTTGAAGGAAAGCGATCTCACAGATCGTCAGCGCCTAGAGGAACTGCTTTGTAACATCGAGCTAGGCAGCCACTCAGCTACTAAAGTCCTAACACGCACACGAGAAGTTATGGGTGCACGAGCATTCGACGATGGCCTTTTCCGAGAACTATTTCTTTCGAAACTACCACAACCGGTGCAAACCGTGTTGGTGACACTGCAGTCAGTCCCACTCGATTACCTGGCAGCCTCGGCAGATAAAATACTGGAGATTTCTAGCAGATCCGCCTCCAACGCATATTCTGTTTGCGACAAACCAGAGGGCCAGGATTCAGAGGTGACAAAGCTGTGCAACTCTGTTAAACAGTTGCTACGAACTCGAAGTCTTAGTTCACGTAACACTTCAATGAAGCGCATCCTAGCGCATCACAGCAACTCGCGCGGTTGCTCCAAAAATAAACCTAACAGGGTTTGAATTCCTGGATGATGCTGGTTTCATAATGCTTGCGGAGACGAAGCCAGAAAATGTCGGAAACCATGCAGTTTTAACAAGGACACAAACTTGAGAAACGGTCACGCCGGCACGTGTTCACGGCAACCGTAGCCGGCGGAGACAGCCGTTTGCTCTACGTCACTTACATAATAACGAGACTTCGCTACCTCGTCGACACCGGTGCAGGAGTTAGTTTTTTTCCGCACCGACGAAGGAGCTTCATCTTGGCCCATCCTCTAATCTCCAGGCAGCCAACGGCAAGGCAATCGCGACATTCGGGAGTCAGTATGCTTATCCCAACTTAGGTTAACGTAAACCTATTCACTGGATTTTCCTCCTGGCTGACGTCTCTATGCCCATCATTGGCATAGACTTGCTAAACCATTACTATTTACTCGTAGATGCTCGCTGTCGACGACTGATAGATAACGACACAAAGTTATCTATTGGTGGCACCACCTGTGTAGGTCCGAGTTTAGCCAAACAATCAGGCGACGCGTCTTACCTGGCACTGCTGGAGAAATATCCAGAGTTGCAACAACCAAAGAATACTCCTCCGTGCATAGCCAGCAATGTTATGCATCACGTCACAACTACAGGTCCATGTGTGGCATCCAAAGCGTGCCGTCTAGCCCCCGGTAAGCTCAAAACGGTGAAGAGTGAATTCGACCACGTGCTCAAACTGGACATAATCAAACTGTCAAACGGTCTCTGGGCATCACCATTGCACATGGTTCCCAAAAAGGATAGCAACGATTGGCGTCCGGTTGGTGACTACCGAAGGCCCAACGCCAAAACAACACCGGTGGATAGCTCAGTTATCGAAATCCGTGACGATGTGCCTGGTAACGCACAGTTACGACAACCATCGGCGCAACAGAAAACAGGATCAGGTGGAACTGTCAGGTTTCCGGAATATTTGAAGTCGTATTCAACTTAGTGGTGTGAAATAAGATGTACCAACCACGTTTTTTCTCTTCAAAATATTTTTTCCGAGGCACTATTCTTCTTATTTACCGGCAAGGCGAAACTCCTCATAAGTTTCATCTCTTTTTATGTCAATTTTTTTACCACTACCACGTAATGAAACACTTTTTTTTAAAAAGCGTAAACTTTGTTTCGATATATTTATATATACATTATTCCCATTCTTACGAAGCGTTTTCACGGTATTAAAGACTTGTATTTATATTCCAGGTGCAACGAGCACTGGACGGAACGTCAAGGGAAACTGAGGACAGCGACCGATGTACAGTTCGATTTATTGTATTTCATCTTTCACTTACCACGACGCCCTAGAATAAGTTCAGACAGGGGTCACTTCACGCAGTGAGCCCATCGGAAATGCTTTGCCAATGAAGAAACCGCTGGGCTTTTACTTCCGGCTGGTATCGTCTTAGGGTCATCATGAACCCGGGGAGAAGGAGTGATCTGTAGCGTCACACACTTCCCCAAAATCAATAGCCTAGGGTTTGACGAGATTCGATATTGATGCTGACCTCAGTAGTTTAACTGGACTCGCTAAGCTGTAGGCCCACGGTCAAGCATCCTCGCCATTTGGCACGCTGTCGTGTTACGTTGAACTGCTCGTACTTGACTCTCTAGCCAGTTGTTTGGAACGCATCGGTATCTTGGTACAACCACCCAAATATACCATTCCATCCAACTACGTTATTGTGTTCTTCCTTGGTCTCGTATTCGTGGGTGCATAACAAGCCCGGATAATTAGTGATTGGTCTTTGCGTCCGTCAAGTTCGCCCCAGGACAAATCTCACAACAGGAAGTTAAGTGCCGGATTGTTTGCCTTGGACTGTGGTGCAGTTGGCTTCTTTAGATGTCGAGTTGCCAGACAGTTGTTCGGACTGGTCGCTAGAGGGGTTTTGGGAAAGTAAAGAGGAAACCTAGAAAATGTTTATGTGAATAAAAGAAGAGGGGAAAAGTGAACTAATGGAGTAATCTTCTTACACCTGAGCGAGGTGGGTCGGGGTTGAAAGGTATGAAGAACCTAGGCAAGTGAGGCTAACTTATGGCAAGTGGAAGGGGTAAAAATGGCTCAAATGGTTACAGTGGAAAGATAACTGGTTGGGGTGGCTTGACATCACTTCCTGTTCCAGCTATGTGTGGGTAGACCGTGAGTTTCTGCATTACTGCCTAGCCTCTTCTTGAAGCCTCCAACAGTTGGGGCGGAGACCACCTCTGCTGGTAGTGCGTTCCATTATCCGCAGACTCGGGGAGAGAAGAATTGTAA